TTATTGAACTCTGTAAAATTACATTCGAATATTTGCATTAACTTTTAAGATACAATCGAAGAAGTTTTTAATACAATACTGCCTTAAAAACATGGCAATTAAATTTATCTCATTCTTCAATCCAACGTATTTCTTAATAACTTTTGGTTTTAAAATTTTGTAGCCAAGGTTATAAAGAATTCATCTTCATGTTTTTTTTTTGAATTTTAATAAGGAGAGATATGGTTATCGAGCAGGGTATCGTAGAATAATGTCTTTCTATGCCTGATTTCAAGAATACGAAAGATATTTTAAATGTTTTGTTCTAGGTTTAACACTTTCAAATGGCTTACAGCAATATTCACGAAAAAAATTCTGCCTTACGCTTCGCCGATGTGGGTACATTACCAAAACGAATGTTGGCACCTATTGAAGGTTATGAGAAAGCACCACTTGTAACACTCGAGGAAGCTGTGAAGCCTCTTGTCAACATTGTACCGAAAGTTGAAAGAAACGTATTCGTAGTCAAACAAAACTGTCAAGAACCAAAAGATGGTTTAAACACTGACGAATCAGCTTCGATTATGCTTTACACTTATGAATCGATGCCACATGAAGACTCCCTGTACGTTAAACTTAACGAAACTTTACGATCCGAACAAAGAAAAAATTTAATCCCATGGTTTCTGTATCTTCGACTCATACTGACGGCACTTGCTCGTCTTCCATCGAACCGTCGCTCCGTTTTTCGAGGAGTCAAAGAAAATTTCTGCGCTGAATATCCAAAAGGCAAGGTTTTCATTTGGTGGGGATTTTCATCGTGCACTTCGTCGGTCGAAGTGTTGGAAAATGAACAATTTTTCGGGAAAACTGGCAACAGAACTCTGTTTCAAATAGAATGCACTACAGCAAAAGACATTAAAAAACATTCATTCGTGACCAGTGAAGACGAAATACTTTTATTACCTGCCCGACAATTTCAAGTCACATCTTGTCTAGATACTGGCAGTGGACTGCATATTGTACAACTCACAGAATTAAAGCCACAGTTCGATCTTCTTGAGCCAGTTCCGGGACCAAGTCCATCAACTCAACCCAAGAAAAGTTCACAAGCGAAATCTCAATCATCAGCAATATCAGCAACGGCTACAGTGAAACCTATCGCTGGAGCCATGGAACAACAATTCGCAACAATGAAGCTAAGCACGAATACAAAGTCACGAGGTCAGTAATATTTATGAGTTAGTTAGAAATATGCAAGTAGGAATGTAAAGTTTGCTCAGAAATATAGTTGATAATTGCAAATGTGTTTATTGATGAAGGACTGACTCTTAATGCATTTCTTCATTGTGCTTTCTTGAACAAAAAAATCAGGTTGTAACTGAAGTTTTTTGTTTCGCTTCAACTATTAGAAGAAATAGTGATCTTATGAGTAGTCACTAAGTAGTGAGTTGTTTGCTTAGTTGTTCTGTGAAACCTATACCGAAATGTGCGAATGATTAATGTTCAGAAATCGTCTATGTTTCTATTCAATATTTTCTATTACGTTCACCGCTTAGTCTTAGTGTGTAGAAAATTTCAACAAAGATTATGTACATTATTAGAAATGAATCGACGTCAAAATAAGAAGTTTAACAATCTTAATGAGGGTGTGGGTGTGAGTTTTCTATTCGTATTTACATCGATACCCACACCCTCTTACATCAAGAATGGAGTATTTAATGGGAAAAGAATGCAGATATATATACATACATGCAAAACAAACAGGGTATGTCGTAGTACATAATTTTAAACAAGAGGTATATTTGTTTCATTCCTATCAATTGAGTGTCAGAAAAAAAAATTTGTTAAGTAATAAATCTGGTTTATACTGATAAAAATTACATGTTTTTAAAACACAGGTTGTGGGTGTGAATTAATACAATAATTACACTCGCACTTGCACCCTTGAAAAAAAACAGATGTCAGTTCCTGCAAGATCTAATAAGGTCTTATCCTTGTAAGGTTTTTCTATGATCTTGTTACAATATCGGACATTATCTTATATGTTCATTTTTTTTCAAGATGTTCTCAGATTTTGATTGTGCAGTGTCAGCAAATAATCTTACAAGACTCAATGATTAAGAGACTGATTTGGACAGACTGAATCGTTCTTGTCAGATCTTAACAGATCATATAAGATCCAAAAAAAGAAACATACACAGTACATAATGGAGATCTTGCCTGTTAGCATCTGATCGTGTATGGTCTGTCCTGTTTCTTTCCCTTATTCGAGAATAATTGATTCCATCAGCTATCCGATGAAGAACAGTACCTGGGAAAAAGATTCGAATAGTTTACGTCGGTTTTTTTCTTCTTTTTCTATACTAATAATGTAGAAAACGATTATTTTTATTTTTCACCTATCTACATTAATAGAGTACAAAACGGTTACTTGTATTCTTCATTTTTCTGTAGTGATAAAATTGTAAATCCTATTTATTTTTTATTTTCTATATTGATAACATAGAAAATCTTATTTTTTATTTTTTATTTTTCTACATTGATAACAAAGATAACAATTTGTTTTATTCTCTATTTTTTGTATATTGTTGACATAGAAAATCTTAGTTTTTATTTTGTATTTTTCTATATCGATAATATAGAAAAATAAGAATTAAAAGTAACTGATATTTATATTATCAATTAAAATCAATAAAAATTCAAAAATAAGATTTTCTATATTATCGTTATAGAGATATAAAAAATTAAAATTGAGATTGAGATTTTCTATATTATCAATATAAAAAAATCAAAAATAATAAATAAAGCTTTCTAAACTGCCAATTTAGAAAAACAGGAAATGAGAGTTAAGATTCTTGTATTATTGATATAGAAAATAAAAGCAATAAAACTAACTGTTATGTATATTACCAACATAGAAAAATTAAAATTAAAACTAATTGTTATTTATATTATTAATATAGAAAAATGAAAAATAACGAATAGGATTTTATTTAATATCAAATATAGAGCAAATGTCGACGGTACTTGTTCTAAAATAAGACTGAAGTTTATGTGCAAAAAAACGAAGCAAGGTAGCCTGTCAAACTGATTATTTCCATGTGTATAAGAGATATTTGAGAAGTTTGATTTAATTGAAATAAATCTATAGTATTAATAAGCATTTCATATGGCTCTATAAGTAGAAAATAAAATTGCCTACTAGAGTTTTATGTCTCATAATCTCTTTGATTTAAAAAGCAGAAAGTATTGTTTTGATTCTGACTCCCATCTTCGAGTTGTTTGACACATAATTAAAGGTCTCATACCGTTTTACATGTATTTGTTTTTTGTCGATGGAAGAAAAGAAATAATGCTAAAAGGTACTTTCTTCCAATTGCATTGAGACATTAAACATATTAAAAATACATGACATTACATGTAATAAAAATGAAAATTGATTAAATAGTATTAAATTTAATCAAGATCTCGATTATAGCTAGATTCTTCATAGATAAATTAAAAAGGATGAAATTATTTAAATTATTTTTAGGGAGCTTGTAAAACTGCATGACATTTTTTATTAACTTCATCGATTCTGTAACTGTCCATTCAAGATATAATCATAGAACTATTGTTTCTAGTCTAAAGCTCAAATCAATATCAATATCAACCTTTAGAAAATTCTAGACAAACAAAAAAAAAACTTTCTTCTAAGATTTAACCAGTTCAGAATGCGATACAATAACAATTTGAAGAAGAAATCTTCACACTTATTGCTATTGAGAATAGCTAAAATCATGATGAAATATTTTACGATCGTTGCTTTTTTGTGAGAATTCTCAAAAATTTATACCTATTGAATAACCTACAAAACATAAGCTTGCAAACATTTTAGATCAAGATTTTCATAGGAGATTCGTATTGTCTTGTAAAGAAGCGAAAATATTTAATTGTAGAAAGTTTGAAATCGATCCGTGATCGAAACTGTATTGTTTAAAAAACCGTGTCCCATACCCTATTAAGTTGAAAATTTGTAATACATTAGAAATGAATTCAGAATAAAAGATTTGATTGATTCGTATATAGATTATTATTTGTGCTACAATGCAGAATAATGAACATGACAGATTCTTCAAATATTCTTGAACTTGGGAGAGATTTGTTTTTGAGTTCTTCTTATCTACTAAAATTTGAACTTACGTATTTTTTTATCTAAATTTATCTTATTTAGCACTTCGATTAGCCTTTCTACAAACTACTTGTTTGTTTGAGATTCAGGAATAAATTACTCAATAATAAGTATGATGCAAAATTCATGGCATAAAATACTTTGGAATGATGTATGATTTATATTTGTTGTTAGGCTCTCGTTTGGAGGGAAAGGTGACTTCTGCCCCGGTCTATAGCTCAGGGCGGAATACTATGTCAAAAACCCAGGTCTGCTCTGGGAACGAGAACACAAACGTGAAATAATAGAAAAGACTTACCAAGTCTTGATATAATGAATGAGGATGTATATAGGGATGTATGAGGTTTTATTCACAATAAAACCAAAAAGACGATATAATAATGATGATGGGGATGAAAGACATAAAGAGGAAAACAATAACAAGATCAATAACAAGATCAACAAGAAGGAAGATGGAATAGGGAATGAATCATGTGACGAAAAGGAAAACGAATAAACACTGGATCGTCCATGGAAGATATATATATGTATATATATCTATATATAGAGGAAAGGAAAAGACCCATAGTGTACAACTGGACGTTAGCGGTAATAGAGGGACCTCTATTGACGCTAACACCTCCCCCCTCCGCCTGAGTGAAGTGTCCTAGACGCCTGCCCACACAACCGTGTAAGCCAGCAGGACAAACACCTCAGTCCAGAGTGTTTGAGGTTAACATAGAGAGGAAGAAGAGTAACAAAAAAGAAACAAGTAGAACAGTGAAAAAAATAAACAAATCAAAGAAAGATAACAATGATGAAAAGGAACATAACAATGCAGAAATGAAAACGAAAAAAAAAAGAACAGTTACTGTTCAGTGTTGAAGTATCGATGAAAATGTTCTTCGTCGAATGTGTCATCCGATAGTGCTGTATCAGCAGCGTGACGTTGTTCAGCATTGTTAAATAAGATGGTAAGAGTATGGTTATGAACTTCGAGCACACGTGCGAATTTAATTTCGATTTGTCGAAGAAAAGCTTTAACATGTGTAGCTTTCCAATTAATATCAACAATTCGTTTAATGAAAAACTGTTGTTGTTTAAGCTTGAATTTCTGATGACGAAGGTCATTTCGACGTTTAATAGCTTGACTAGAGCGTGCATGTGTACGAGAAGAAGATTGATGTTGAGATATATGATTGAAATAATGAGTAATAGAATTAGATATAATATAACGATAATGAGGATAAAGATGCATTCGATCAGGTTGTAAATGAACATCAGTGATATGAAAATCAATAAAGGTAAAGTGAAGTTGATCCGATAATGCATTAAGTTCTTCGTTATAAAGTTGAATATTGGATAGTAGAGAATCAGTAGATGGAAAACGGCTGGAAGTGTTATAGCAGGGGAATGTGGCAACAACAGCAATATGTTGTTTTTGTTTTAAATGAGGATGGTTTGTATGAATATATGCGATTAGATGAGCGGCCTGTTGAACAGCTTGAGCAGCATCAATAAATCGAAGAGAATTGGTGCCAATGATTAACATAATTGCTTGTGCCGAATGTAAATAGGACGAAATAGGAGGCGATTGTATAAGTGAGAATGCATTAAGATCTGGACGTTGAGAATCAAACCATTTAAGGCCAGAAACAAAATGAGTGGTGATTGTATAATGTGGTGTATTAATTGTTTGTTCAATATGTCGACCATGGCTATCAGCCAAAACAAGATATAAAGGTAATTCAGGAACGTGTTGTTGGTTAGACGAAGATTCAGTGGATTGTGGTTCAGGTGAATGTGAGGGAAGCGGTGCTTGTTCAGGAGTCGATGGTTGAAGTGATTGTTGTGTAAGTAAATGTGGTACGTGTGGTTGTGGAGCAATTGATGAAATAATTGTTGATGAAAATGAAGTACGAAGAGGACGAATGATCTCGTGGTTCAAGTGGAAAAGGAGTCGGGTTGGTGCAGATACGTCGTTGATGGCATATGATGTCATAGCTGTACGTGGAGCTATTGATTCAGACGTATTATCTGTTGTTAATAAGGGATCGAGACCACAGGACCAGGTATTCATTGTATGAAGCTTATTAAGAGCTTCATTAAAGGTAATTTTGATTGCCTTTTGAAGAGCCCATTGGTCAGTGGGATTTTTATAAGGACGAATATCATCCGGACAGGTGCAAGTACTTTTATTGGTAGCACGGTTAAATTGAAGATCATCATCGAATTTGGAAGTATTAACCGTACAAATAAGATCATAATCGGAATCAGAATCGGAATCAATAATGATTTGGGATTGATGTTGTTGAGTTGGACAGGAGGGAAGGTGAGGATGAGTTTGATTCCAATTATTGGTAAAGTAAGCTTGGAGATTAATATGTTGTTGGATTTGATTTATATCAAAAAGTGCAAATGGTTGGAAATGTGATAATTCTTGAAGGACATTACCCCAACCAACAATGTAATGTTGAGGAGAAAAGATGTGTTGACAAAGTTGTTGGATAAGTTGATGAGTAGGTGATAAAGAAAAAGGTAAAAACTGAGCTTCAATGAGAAGGACTGTTGTGGAAGTTTCGGAATGAATAGCTTCAATTTGAATAAGAGCAGGTAATGCTTCAGATCGAAATCGTGTAGGTGGATCTGATTCAGTATCAATAACATATACTGTGACATCACGAATGGTTTCGAAGACGGATTGAAGAGTGGAATGTGGAGTAAGATGATGGATGAAAATAGGTTGATTGGAATGTGATGGAGGCCAATGGAATGCGGGTAATTGTTGTACTATTTGAGCATTTCGTTTAGCTTTTTTTGCAGTTTTGAACCATCGATTACGTTGAGGATCAGTAAGATGTTCTGGACAATTTTTCTCTGTTCGTTCGAGAAAATGTTTATGTGGATTTGATTTAGGTGGACGGGTTGAAGAAGGTTGTGTAGAGGATATATGGTGTGATCGGGTAGAGCTGAATGTAGGTGGAGTTTCGGTCGAGTGACTGCTGTCATCCGAATTATTCGGAGACTGCATGACCGATTTAATATAAAGTAATGGTCAGCTGGTGATATATATGGAAATGAAGAGTTGTTAAGGGATGAAAGAAGAAAAAAAAAAAAAAAAAACCAATGAAAATAGAAAAAGGTATACTGACTTTATCAGATGTTGAGAAGATTGAATAATGAAGTTGTGGAGTTTCTATAGTCGACGATAAAGTTGAAGAAATAAACCACTAAATGGAGTACTGTATATGATTAAGGGTAAAAGTAAGATGTGAGCCTGATAAAGGTGAATTGGGACCTAACCGTCTTAAGGGACTGATCAATCCACTACAACTCAAGTCGCAGATTAATCAATAAGACAGAGGTGAAGAAAAAGCTAATAATGAATTGATTGAGGTTGTTTGAATGATAACATTATGGAATAAAGAATCAAGTAATTGAAGTAAGTAAAGAAGTATATGGATAAACTTGATATAAAGAAATCTAATTAATATAAATTGGTCGAAGATCTCCAACATGGACTTGGGACTTCATGTTGTTTTGAGTATCTTGGACAATGTAAATGGGATGATTAACGGAAATAATGACTTTTGGTATCGGTGAAAATTTCGGATCTAATTTACCACGAATACCATAAATACGAGTTAAGACTGTATCGCCTAGTTTGTAATGTGGATCTGGACGATTTTTATCATATCGGTATGTGGTATGTTGTTGTTGTTGTAATATATTTTGTTTAGCAGCTTGATGATAAATACGTAAAGTTTTTTGTAATTGATTGAAATAATCATTGGGTTTGAGAAAAGAAAAATATGATCGTCGTGTTGAAATAGGAAGACGAGGTGTACGACCATAAAGGAGTTCGTATGGGGAATATTTGGTGGTTTTATGTACGCCAGAATTATAGGCGAATACAACAGCTTGCAAATATTCATCCCAATTGTTGTCTTCAGTATCTTGAAGTTTTGAGACTTGTGGAATAAATGTGCTGTTGAAACGTTCGACGATGCCATTTGTTTGAGGATGATATGGCGTACTGTATATGTGATTGTATCCGATTAATTTTTGAATATTTTGCATCAGTTGATTTTGGAAATGTGGACCTTGATCACTGAGAATGGTACTTGGTATACCATATTTGCAAAAATATTCATTAAATAAGGCTTGAGCGGTCGTTGCTGCTGTGCAGTTCGGTAAGGCGATGGCGGTAATATGTCGGGTGAAGTAGTCAGTTATCACAAGGACATACTGATTTTCACGCGGTGTTGTTTTAAGTGGACCGCAATAATCTATACCGATCAGTAGAAATGGACCGTCAGGTGGGGGAATCGGATTAAGTTGACCATGTCTTTTCTGACGACTGACATTGTATTGTTGACAGGCAAGACAGGATTTGATATGCTGGAAAATAGATAATTTCATTTTTGGCCACCAATAAAGATTTTTAATTTTGTGGTATGTTCGATCACGTGAAAAATGTCCTCCAGTCATAGGATCATTATGACAAGCATATAGAAGTGGCTTGATCATAGACGATGGGAGGTAAATAACATCGCGTTTAAGTTTAGAATGCGGAGAAATTGTAATTATTTTACGAAGAAGATTATCTTTGAAGATAAATGGTGAGTTATTCGGTTTTTGTTGAAGTCGACGAATAATATTTTGTATGTTGGGATCACGAGCTTGTTCTTGTTGTAATTTACTCGTATCAAAGTAATTTGAAGAAAATTTATGTGGTATGAATTTAGTATGTGATACATTAGTATCTGTAACGAGAGTGGTATCCGGATCAGTAGAGACGAAAGCATCAACATTCGCTGTAGCTTTCACTGATTCGGTTTTATTTTTTCGTGGACGTAATAACATTGCATTTAAAAGGTTTTGATTGGTAGACGGAGAATCCACTATCGCGGATTTACTTCCAATACCGTAATCAATATCAAATAAATCGTCGTCTTGTTCGCGAGGATATCGAGATAAATAATCAGGCAAACAATTGTCACGACCATTTATATGAATAACTTTTTCAATATTATATTCTTGGATCAAATGAGAAATTCGATCGACGCGTGCATTTCGTACGGTTTTCTTCATAATATTGCATAATGGACAATGATCTGTTTTGACAATAATAGATCGACCAAGTAAATATGGTCTCATACGAGCAAAACATTTGTAAATAGCCAAGGCTTCTTTTTCAATGGGACTATATTTTCGTTCACAAGGAGTCATTAATTGGGAATGATAATATAAATTTCTTAATTCACCATTGACCTCTTGTTGTAAAACACCTCCAATGCCAAAATCACTTGCATCAGTCGTTAATATAAATGGTTTATCATCGACTGGAAAATGAAGAAATAATGGTGCAGTTGTTAGCATCTGTTTGAGTTGGTGAAATGCATTGGATTGTTCGGATGTCCATTTGAATTTACGCCGGTCATTTTTATTAAGATTTGTTACGGCGTGTATTGGTGCGGCTATGGTGGCGAAGTTTGGAATAAACTTTCTGTACCAGCTTAAAGCACCAATAAATTTGTTTGCACGAGCTAATGTGTTTGGTTCTTTAATGTTGAGAATAGCTTGTATTCTTTCATTCATTGGTGTAATTCTATTCTCACTAATTGTGTGTCCAAGATAATTGATTGTTGAAACCATAAGTTCACATTTTGGAGGATTAAGTACAAAATGTTTTGATGATAAAGCCGAGAATACTTGTTCGAGATGTATCATATGTTCTTCGTAAGATCTTGAGAAGACAATGATGTCATCAAGATAAACGAGAGAAAATTGTCGGCATGGTTTCAGCGTATCATTCATCACTTTTTGAAATGTTGGTGGTGAATTAATGAGACCCATAGGTAATACGTTGAATTGATAAAGACCAAATGGAGTAACAAATGCGGTCTTTTCGCGATCAGCTTCATTAATTGGAATTTGATAAAATCCCGATTTTAAATCCAATTTACTGAAATATTTGTAACCTTGACCCAGCTTTCGAATGGATTCTTCCATATTTGGTAATGGTGAAGAATCTTTGATTGTGATCAAGTTTAATTTTTTATAATCCACTACGAAACGATAAGAACCATCTTTTTTCTTGACAAGGATAGCAGGTGCTGCATATGGAGAATGAGATTCTGAAATTAAACCTGCTTGTAAAAATTCTTGGATAATAGCATACATTGGTTCTTCTTTATCTGGTTGTGGATATGGTTTGCAAGCTGGGGGTGTATGTGGGATTGTGTTAATAACATGATGAATGGGTGTATCAGCAATATTATGTTCAGTTGTATTAAAAATTCGATGGAAACTGTATAAAAGTGCGAGAAGAGCATCATGATATTGTTTATGTTGTAGTTTGGTAGCTAATTCGCGAATATCTTTATCAACCTGAGGGTGTATCGAAGGAATTGTATAACAAGTAGTGGGATTTGTAATGACATCAGTATTATACTGGTTGTGTATTGGAAAATATTTCGAAGAGTCGTTCGAATAATGATTAGTCGATTTATCCATGACTAAGTCAAGAGAGACTGGCATCTCGCCAAAAGATTTGACGGCACCACGTGATTTAGTCGTTGGAAGCGACGTGTGGATATTTCGTTGTTGAACGATATAAGAACATAAGAATCCAATACAAACGCCTTTAGTAACGAATTGTGGATAAAGAGTTGTATTAGATAATGTTATAGTAGAAAAATGATTGTAAAATTGAAGAAGTTTATGTGGAATATATAAAGCACTATTTAGTATAAAGTGTTGATGAGGAATAAATGGTGAACTAATAGACGAAATAGGAATGAAAACTTTAGCTGTACGATTGGTATTAGGAGGAAGATGTAAAGATTTGGACAAAGTTATTGGAATAAGTTGAGGTGAATAATTTTGATTGATATTCATGTAGTATCGACGATCATTGATCTCAATAGAAATCAATTGATGTTTTGTGTCGATTGTGAGATTATAGCGGGTAATGTAATCCATTCCGAGAATTATATCGGTGCATAAATTTTGAGCAACATGTGCTTGAATTGTGGTTAGTTGATTTGCGAATAATATTGATAATTCAACAGTACCTAATACGTGAAAAGGTGCTAAACCATCAGCTAAAACGAATGAATGAGTATGTTTTTTGACGAAATTATAATATTGGAGTTTTTGTAATGATTTGTGGTTAATAAAGGTTTTGGTTGCTCCGGTGTCCACTAAAAGTTGTAGTTTGTGATTATTAACTAATGTTGTAAGAAAAATTAATGAAGGTTGTGATGGATTGTGTTTTTTATATCCGGAGGCAACACCATCGTTCGATGTCTCCGGTGCTAGAAATTTGGACAGGCACTAGCCTGATGCCCAAATTGTTTACATTGAGTACAATAATCAGTAGGTGTAGATGATTGTTGTAAATTAGGTTGTATTAAATCATCTAGTGGGAGTAAACTACTAACATTAGTTTGTCGCGGGTTATTACGAGAAAATGTCTTTGGACGTTGTTGAGTATTTGGTTGTTTGTTATTATTTGTAGTATAAGTATTTGATGACCTTTGTTGGTTAGGACGAAATGGTTGTGGAGCGATCTTTGGTGAAGATCGCGATGATATAGGTGATTTCGTTGATGAAAATGTTGATTGACGGGGTTGAAATGATGAATTATATGAAAGTAATGGATATGATGTACGAAAATTATTTTTATAATAATTATTAGGATAATTATTATTAAATTTCTTCCAATTTTGTGGTTGTGACATCGTAGAAAAAGAATTGGAGTAATTGTGAATCATGGATGGAATTGATGTAAATGGTAATGTAGGTGATGTAGTATTAGTGTTACTATTGATATTGGTATTTGTATTTGTATTAATAGTAATATTAGATAGTTGATAAAGATCTTCAATTTCTTTGGCATATTCGAGAAATTCTTTTGTAGTTGTAGGTTTCTTTCGACGAACTTCAAATTGAATTGTTGGTTTTGTTTTATTGAGAAGATATCGTAATTTAGCAGATTCGCTCATAGCTGGATCAGCTTCTTTACAAAGTTTAATGACTTCATTGTAATAATTACGGATCGATTGATTTTCTCCTTGAGTGTAAGCTTCTAGTTTTTGAAATGCTAATTCTTCATGATAAGATGAAGTAAATGCCTTTTTAAATTCAGATACGAATAATTGCCAAGAAGTTAATGTACTTTTATTATTTTTATACCATCGAAGTGCTTCACCTCGAAGTGAGTACGAGATTAGATCCAATTTATTTGCGTCGGGAATATGCGCGGTATCAAATGAATGTTCTAGATCTTCCAACCATTTAGTAACATCATCTTTGCCCCCTTGAAATGTTTTTGGATTTTGTATTAAATTGTGAAGTAAAACTTTACGAATTGCATTTGTTGTATCATCAACGGTTGTAGTACTATGATTGATAGTATTATTGTCATTAACTACTGTTGATTGAAAGGCTGGTATCTCGCCATTCGAAGTGGCGGCACCGGAATCATTCAATGCAGTAGAGTGATGTTTTGGAGGTTTCTCGGAAAAATTAGTATTATCGAATGTCATCATTGTTTGTAAATTTTTATCTTCTGACGATTTAACTTGATGAAGTAAACTGGATTGTGAGAAAACACTTTCCTGTGGATCAGTCAATGCTGATGGAGTAACATCTTTATCGAAGTGTAATAATAATATTTCATAAAAGTCTTCAAAGGATTGAATGTTTCGTCTATTTAATATGTAAACCTTTTCTGCGGGTCCTTCCACTAACAATGGAATGGCCGTAGAACGTAAATTTCTTGGAATTAAAAGTCGATTAAATTTCCTTTTGGTTTCACTCAACCATTGATTAACATCTTGTTCACCGGAAAATGGTGTAAAATTTTGAAGGATAAATAAATCGAAATTATTTTCAGTTTCATTTTCTTCACAATCAGCATCATTTTCTACCATATCTTTTGGTAATAAATCTTTTTTATCAGTATTATTATTCATTGTTGTCGTTACGAATGAATTAATATTTGATTGAGTTGGTTTTTCTGTTTCAATTGATGAACAATCCTTATTTAATAAATTATCTTGTTCGGTATCCATTTGGAATAATTTAGGTACTTTGATCGGTAAGTGTGTTGAAGGAATAATTGATTTTCTACGATTTTTGTTTAATAAATTCAATGAATTTGAAAGTTGTTTTTCTTGTGTATTTGTCGATATATTTAATGACGATTTCCATAAATAAGAAATGTGATCGTCATTATTCATTTAAAATTATTTCATCGAAATATGTATAATATAATACGAAGTATATATGTATATATATAAACGTATATTTTTTTTTTTTTATTTTCTTTTTTATTTTGATTGTCGAAAGAAAAAAGAGAAAAAAAGGTTGATGCAGACAAAATCTGCCCAACTTCTCCACCAATTGTTAGGCTCTCGTTGGGGGAAATTATGATTCTAGCCTGACACTATCGGTTATGGCCAGATGATCAGTATATTTAATCCCGGTCTGCAACGGGAACGAGAGATCTAACGTAAAGGAAGTAAATAACCATACTGACTTTGATGACGTTGATAATAAGATGAATGAGTTGGGGATATATATATGGGTTTATTAATATGAATATAACAATAAACATATAATAATAATAATATAATAATGAAGAACAATATGAAAGGGAGAAAGGATAAGGGAAGAGAAAAACAACTCGTGACCACCGGGGAGGAAGATTCAACACCAACTGAATAGAGAAAACAACAAGAAGGATAATCACTGGAAAAGTCCAGAGAGAAATATATACTGACCACTTAGAAAGTGGAGGAAAATCCAATAGAACACAATTTGGAAGTTAGCGGTAATAGAGTGACCTCTATTGACGCTAACATTTGTCACACATTCGTAAATGGAATAAGAAAGAAAAATACTTACACAAAAAATTTGTAATTTTTTTATATGAATCAGTCAAAAACGTCTTATGCATTGTAGTTAAGTATAAGTAACTATCGTTATTATCTAGCAAGATGTTTTTAACGAATTCATATAAAAGTTGCAAATTTATTTTGTCTCATTTTACTCAGAAATGTGTGGCGGATATAAATCATACACCGTTTCCTATCAACTGATAACAAAATTGTTTTTCCTTACGTTCAAATTCTATTATAACTCATTTTATTGTAAAATCCAAACAAAAAAAATGAAATGATTTTTAAATATATTTCAACATCGAGCTAACAAACTCAGTAAATATGTTGGAAAAATTCGATATAAAAGAAAATTTCATTTACGATAAAATTCGAGTTAATCACAATTGTTCACATTACCAGTTAAATTTTAGTTAGTTTTAGTAAAACTAAGGATTCTTACACAAAATATTTGAAAAAAATCAACAATGTTTTGTTTTCAACATTGAGAAAAATCACATTCCAATCAAGTTCATAAGTAAAAAGCTTTTGTAATTGAGAGCAGTTCAATATTGTTTAAAACAAATGAGAAGGACTCATTTCAATGACATTGATGTTTATTTTTACTTCATACTTTTGTTTCATTTCAGTACCACTACGTGCAAGTTCCATTGATATTCATCCGAATGCAAAATGGGCACAGAATGGTATAACTGTTGCTGGAGGAAATGGAGAAGGCAGTAAAACCAATCAACTCTATTACCCACGGAGTTTGTACGTCGACGATGATCAAACGATTTATGTCGTGGATCAGGATAATCACCGTATTGTGGAATGGACATCTGGTGAAACGAATGGAAAAGTAGTTGCTGGTGGAAATGGAGAAGGAAATGGAGCTCATCAATTAAATCGCCCAGAAGATGTGATTATCGACAAAGAGAGCGATAGTCTCATCATCAGCGATAGAGGGAATAGAAGAGTAGTTCGATGGCCTCGTCGAAATGGTACTCGTGGAGAAACAATTATTTCAAATATCGCTTGCTGGGGTTTAACAATGGACGACAATGGATCTCTCTATGTCATTGATGCAGGAGAACATGAAGTGAGACGATATAAAATTGGTGACACTAAAGGAACAGTGGTTGCAGGTGGCAATGGATACGGAAATCGTCTCGATCAACTCTGTACTCCCCGCTACGTATTTGTCGATCGAGATCATTCAGTTTATGTGTCTGATTATTGGAATCATCGTGTAATGAAATGGGAAGAAGGTGCAACACAAGGCATTGTCGTAGCCGGTGGTAAAGAACAAGGAAATAGTCTTACAAAATTGAATCATCCTGTAGGAGTCATTGTCGATCAATTGGGTACTGTCTATGTGGCTGATCATGGTAATCATCGAATCATGCGTTGGCCAAAAGGAGCCACACAAGGAAGTGTCATTGTTGGTGGAAATGGTGATGGAGCACAGTCGAATCAACTCCATTATCCCATAGGCTTATCATTTGATCGACATGGTAATCTCTATGTCGTCGATAAGGACAATCATCGAGTACAAAAATTTAATATCGAATGAAATTCAATACGATGATGAATTTTATTTTTTTTTTGTTCTCTTTCTCTTACAAATAAATCGTGATTGAATGGAAAAATGAATTCATAGCTATTCTATTCTCTTCGCGCGCGCGACCAGGAACCATCCTGGTGGAGCCGTGGCGAGCATAATGCTCATGCACGCGCGGGAAGACCCACATGCACCCATCCGATGTCATATGTCAGTGAGTCTGGGGGCCCGATCATGTGCCACGGACACCAAGACAGTTCCTGGCCAGGCTTTTAGGGACTACCCGGAAGTCCTTCTTATAAAGCGAAACCCTAAACTCAACGTACCTCACTCACCCTAACTATTCTCATCTCAACGAAGAAAAGAAAAAGAAAAAAAATTAACTCACCCGTTGATGTTGAATGATGACGTCTTTAACAGGAAAAGAAAAATATGAATATAAAAGATCACAAGAAGACTCACCACCCGCTGTATGATCCAATAAAGAAAAAAAAAACAATTGATACCTACATTTTTTTATTGTGTTGTATTCTGTTGATTTGAATAATTTTGTATCGTTGCAGCCAATCTAAAATATAAAAAAAAGATTAGAATTTGATTCAATAAATTGAATGATTTTTACATGGAAAATCATTCATATTTATATGTTAAAAATCGATAATTTTGTTTTTTTTTTCTCGTCAGATAGTGATGAAAAGATGATAAAAATTAAGCTATTATCAACATACACGCATACATTGAGATAAAGTCAATCACAGTATCTCAATATATGTGTATGGATAATGCTTAATTGACGTACACACTCATTATGTCATATTATCATTGATCATCAATGACAACATGAAGCATAACTTACGGACGAGAGAAGAAAAGAAAAAAAGATATTGTCGTGACCTATATTATTTTTATCGTTCTTCTCTCGCTTCCATATTCAGTTGTGAGCACGAAACAGACGAGCACACAATATTCAAGTTTGTTCATATCATTCACTTCTTTTTTTGTTCTGTTCGATAGATCAACTTTGGGATATCAACAAACAGTTTATTTTATTTTAGTTCAATTTAAATGAAATCATTGAAAAATGATCGATATTGAATTTTAACAGTTCATTCAACATTAAATTTATTTGCTGCTGGTAAGATTCTTCTCATTTTCAAAAATTAAAAGTAAAATAAAATATTTGTTTGCTAGGTCATGATAATCAAGTATTCACGACGATTGGAAATTAGAACATCAAAAGATGTTCCTCTTATTTAATTACAAAGGTAAATTTTTTCAGAATTTTTTAAAATAAATTAATTGTTTTATTTTATTTAATAATATTGTTGGTGGTCCACGTTCGAAAGATGCTGATGAATCAACAAATTCAATATAAAACTCTGGATGATATGATTTATTCGAACTGAACGCTAGGATTTTAAAAAGGTCTAACATTTCAAAAAGAGAAAGATATTTTATCTAAATTGTTCGATACATTTAATGTATATTCTTTTCTAGTATGTGAAGGTCGTCGTTCATCTGATTTAAATGCCATACGGGTTGTTTTAAATCTTTTTTATGGATTTTAATACAACATAAAACAAAATTTAATTAGCAAATTGTAATGAAAATTTTTATGCTGATAGAGGTCTTGATTAATTCGTGAAAATGATCATATTAATATATATGATGCTTAACAAAAATGTTCATTAGCAAGTGTAAGAAAAGGCAAAGTTAAATATACAATGTGGTCAAATGATACGAATTACTTATCATTATTACGATGATTCAGGTGTTTTTCTTCATACAACATTAAATCATATTAATTATGCATTTATCAATGGTGACCATGGAATTATTCATATACTTGATTTATATATTTATATAACGAAAGTTAAAGTAATAGAAAATACGATGAAGTAAAATTTACAAATTTCTTTTCAAAAGTATTCATCTTGAAAACAAATGATGCAAAAACAAGATTTAGCTTAGCACTTGAATATAGAAATATTGATGTAAATTATTTGTGGTTTTTTTTAAATAGTTTCAATTATTTATTTTGAAAAATGAAGAAAATTGGTTTGAAAAATTTCTTATTGTTTTTATTTTAATTTATTTTTTTGTTTAGCTGAAGTACGATAAGATGTTAGTAGACAATTTCAAATTGCAATCTTATTAGGGGATGTTGAAGAACGTATTAAATTTCGTAGACAATGCAATCAAAGTAATATTTTATATTTTTTCTCTATGAGATTGATTTATGTTATGTCTTTTTTTATACAATAGAATCATTTGATGAAAAAGTAATTTATTATGGATAAAAAGTACTCTCATGTTAGTACTTCGTCCGAGAGGGTTTTTAAAAAAATTAAAGCAATTGAGAAAGTTTTATTTTTCGTTTTCTAATATCTTCAATTGAAAGTCTTGAAAACTAGTTATAGATTTTCATGTAAATATATCAATTTTTTTGAGATATTAAATAATTTCTAAACAATCTTTAATTGTATTCAACACATCATTTATCTAAAGAGTTTTCTGTACTGTTGTATAAAGAAGTTTATGATGATTTTCGAAGTTTATTATGACATTGAATGATAACATGTTTTTTTAAAAGACATTTCAAATAATCACAATGCCATAATTAGTTTAGTTTATTTTCTCTGATTGATATTCATTAGAATGTAGATTAAAAACAGAATAAGAAGACTTTTCATATTCTGTTTCAAAAAAGGAATAAGCCGGTAGACTGAGATTTTAACAAAGTTATTATTACTTATTCTTTATTTAATTGATATGTTAGATATGAAATAATAAGATAGACATACATTTAATCAATATTAATCTCGTGTTGAATTTAGTAATTCAAAATAAAATATTTATTAATTTTAGTTACCTGAAATAAATCTACATGCTAAATTAATTTTACCACCATGTCCAATAAGTCAACAAGAATCAAAGCAAATTTAATATCAAACATAACAGCAAAACTTGCTTTAAATCTTCATATTAATGAAACAGCAACAAATGGTTGAGATTGGGCTGATGACGAAGTATCAATTGAAGGTGATGACGATGATCTTAATAGAGAAAATCTTAATAATAATCAAGATGAATAAGATGAAGGTTGAGGTGATACTGAAATTGAATTACCACCTGATCTTGTATGTTTTTATTCAAATATATTCACGTTCACGTACAGCTTTTACAGCACTTCCATCATTATATGCATATTTCATTAAGAAATTGGTTTGTATGTTCATTTAATAAATATTTTAAAATTTTTATTTTAATTATTAAGACATGAAGTCCATTCACCAAAACTATTTTATCCAGCAGTTGGATGTCTTCAAATCGCATATCGTTTAACAACAAATGGAAAATTGCAAGAAGCTGTTGAAAAATTTCGTTCAATATTATTATCTGTTGCATTATGTTTTGTTGAATCACGTCAAGATATTCTTGAGAGTCAACAATTAACTGAAATATGTAAAGAATATATTGTTGGTTTACAAATGTTAATGGCAAAAAAAAATTTAGCAAAAGATGATCATGACATTAATATCTTCATTTAAGCATTTGAAATTAAAAAATTATAAAGCTGCAACAAGCTTTGCCATACGTTTATTGGAATTGGAACCAGCATCTGATGTTGCTCAATAGGTTTTTAGCTTTAGTATTAATCTTTCATTTTCAAACCAAATATTCTCATTCTTTCTTAACTGCAACTTTGAAAGGTTTTAAAATAAACCAAAAAAACAAGAAAGAAAACATCTTTAATCCACTCAAGATATGTCATATCTGTTGATAGAAATTTTTCATGTTTTTTTGATTTATTTGAAAACAATTGAGTTTATTCTTTGTTAAATGAAACATAATTTTGATTGAATTATTTTAGAAGACGAACAAAAAACAATAAAAACTTCTTTTTTTTGTGTTCTTTTGTTTAGACACGGAAAGTATTAAGTGTACGTGAAAAGAATCCAATTGATGAACATCCATTAAATTATGATGAATATAATTCATTTAATATTTGTGCAGCATCCAATGTACCACATTTATCGGTAAGAAATTTAAAAATGAACTCGAATTTAATTTAAAGTAATCTTTAATTCTTGTTCAGTGAAAATCTATTATCCGGTGCAGCCTATTTACCGAATTTTATAGGACAATTATGTCGAGTTACAAAAGCAACTGAAATTGGAATTCTAATTCTATTATCATTATTATTAACTTGTAATGCATATATTTATCATTTTGAAAAAGTAACTTATCATTAGAACGTTTTTCTTTTATTTCGAGATAAAGAAATCCGTTTCTAAAACGAGAATTTAGAATCAATACATGTGTTTGAAATAAGTTCACTTCAGTAGACATTGAAATTCTATGATAATATACAAAAATAAATAATCTCGGTTTATAAAACGACATCAATGCAACTGAGTACTTTATAATTGTTTAAGAAATTTTATCGACATGATTTCATTTGATATTCAACCTTTGCAATATCTCGATTGACTAACTCAATTAGTAACCTACGCACATCTATTAAGTCATTAATAAGACTAAGAGATAATTAAATGTCTAGCGATATACTTTTTTTTTATAGATTTCTTCATATTGAAATAAAAATAAAAATTAACAATAAGAAATAACTTTTCATTCTAAAAACTAAAATGGAAGATAGTAATGATGATTTTCTATTCAATGGCTTATTTTCCCCATTTGAAAAATCTTCGTTGATTTCGATTGACTTTTCTCCAATTTCGCAACTACAGAGTTTCAAAGTAACAAAAACATGAAAACCTATTCTAAAAACGAATTTTCTTAAATTAATATCGTTTGTAGATAATCATTATGGTGATGAAAATCTTGATTCTACTATAGAAAAACATGATCTTAATGGAGCATTTCCAAGAATTGTTATAATAACAACAATGAAACGAGAAACAACACCATCGGGAAGATGCGTTATTGAAAAACAAATTCAATAATCATCAAATCAAAATGAAAATATACAAAACTGAAACAATGAGTAAAATATGTGGAGATACACATCATACAACGGTAAAACAAGATGGTAAAATAATTCGAGAGTATGGAAATGCAACAATGAATGAATTAAATCAAATTGATAAAGACACTCGGATTTTTTTCAAAAGCTTTTTTTGTTAAATAAAAGATTTTTGTTCAAATGATCTACTAAAAATAAATGAAAGAAAATATTATTTGAGTTTGTTTTTTTTTTATTTTGAAAAAAAAAACATGTAGTTGTCTCCCTGTTTTTTACTTAATATATTTTATTTTTTCTGCTTCGTCAAAACTAAATCTCTTTTCCGATTGAAAATAAACTTGTCGACAATACCATCATTTTCCTCACCAACGGCAGAAAAAAAAAGAAAAAAGGTGTCAATTCAAGTCGGATGAACATCCGACAGCTATAAACAACTAGACAAAAACTTTTTTTCTCTAATCTTCATTTACAATTAACTCACAAATTAGAATATC